AAGATGGTTGTTTTTTGTATTTTTCTCGTGACAATGGAAATACCGTTATTTCAGTCTTAAAGCATCATGTAAAAGGGAAGAAGAGCAAACATGATCTGAAGGTTCAGAATACTTCAATTTCAAAAGAAGTAAACTGCATTTGTTAGCCAGATGTTCTCCATGTATCTCCTATATCCTTGCTTCTTCCCACTCTTGCCTTGTGCCTGCTCAAAAACCACTCTTGAAAGAAATTGTTGCAATTTTAGTTGGAATAAATTATGCTTCAAGCTGTAGGAGATCTGATACTGTGGAAGAAAATCATTCAGTGTTTCAACTGAAAACTAACTTTGTCTCATTACTTCTATCTCTGATGATAATAGTCCATAGTGACTTTCAGCTAGAGGTGCATCCTTTTTCACTTTATTTTTAAATAATGTTCTAAAGCTTAGGCAGAATAGACTGTTCCAGAAGCATCATATTCTGTGGACTTCTGATAGCCAGGGCAGCTGTTTACCAGTAAGAGTAATTCACCACATAAAATACATACTAGTGAGCTTATTTATGCCAGCTCAAGAAAAAGTTGCTGATGGCAAATGGCAAGCACTGCTGAATTATAAGGCCTGACAAAAGAAATGGGAACTAGAGGAATATACCTTCCTGTTCCATCAGACCCTTTGTCCTGGCTGCATTTTCTTCCTGTCCAAGCACCACCAAGCCTAGGCATTCTTAGGAAGACGAAAAAAGTATTGACACTTGTTTGCACTATACTGTTTGCACTGTATTTGTGCCACTGGCAGAGGGACAAATGACACAGACTGAGCACTCACACTAATACCACGTTCACACACTGCTTTTTGCTCTGATCAGGACACTGATTCTGGGCTGGGTGAGCTCCACCTGCTGTATGGCTACATACTGTCACAGGTTGTTGAAGCAGGCTGCTTTTGATAGGTTCATGACCCAAGACCTCTCTTGACAGTACAGTCACCCATAACGCTTCTTGCAGTACACATTGCATTAGTGTCAGCATTGTGCCTGACCTGGTTTAAGGAGACTTGTTGGACACTGCCCTTTGACATGAGCAAAAGAATAGTCTATGGTTTTTTTCATTCAGTGGTCACTGTCGCTCAGCCTCATAAGTCTGTTGGTAATCCTTCACACCAGGCTTTAGTCCTTATGAATGTGAGCAACTCTGAGGTGTTGATGATACTACTCACCTTCTTTTCCACATAATTACAAACATGCCAAAAAGATCTTACTGAGGTGCTCTTGTGACCTCCCAGTGGTGGGAGAACTGACTGCTTTCTCCTTCTTTTCTTGTCTTTTAGAATCATAGAATCATAAAATTAACTGGGTTGGAAGAGACCTCCAAGATCATCAAGACCAACCCTTGATCCAACCCCACTGTGATTACTAGATCATGGCACTCAGTGCCACATCCAGCCTCATCTTAAAAACCTCCAGGGACGGTGAATCCACCACCTCTCTGGGCAGCCCATTCCAATGCCTGATCACTCTCTCTGTAAAGAACTTCTTTCTAATATTCAACCTAAACCTCCCTGACAGAGCTTAAGCCTGTGCCCTCTTGTCCTGCTGCTGATTGCCTGGGAGAAGGGACTGACCCCCACCTAGCTACAACCTCCTTTCAGGGAGTTGTAGAGAGTGATGAGGTCACCCTTGAGCCTCCTCTTCTCCAGACTAAACAACCCCAGCTCCCTCAGCCTCTCCTCGTAGGACTTGTGCTCAAGCCCCTTCACCAGCCTGGTTGCTCTTCTCTGGACCTGCTCCAGCACCTCAATGTCTTTCCTGAACTGAGGGGCCCAGAACTGAACACGGCACTCCAGGTCTGGCCTCAGTAGTGCTGAGTACAGGGGAAGGATCTCTTCCCTGCTCCTGCTGGCCACACTGTTCCTGATCCAGGCCAGGATGCCTTCTTGGCCACCTGGGCACACTGCTGGCTCACGTTCAGCTTCCTGTCAATCAGCACCCCCAGATCCCTTTCCACCTGGCTGCTCTCCAGCCACTCTGTGCCCAGCCTTTAGCACTGCAGGGAGTTGTTGAACTTCATCCCGTTGGAATCAGCCCAACTCTCCAGCCTGTCCAGGTCCCTCTGCAGAGCCCTCCTGCCTTCCAGCAGGTCGACACTCCCTCCCAACTTGGTGTTTTCTGCAAATTTGCTGATGATGGACTCAATCCCCTCATCCAAATCATTGATAAAGATGTTAAACAGGACTGGGCCCAGCACTGATCCCTGGGGGACACCACTGGTGACCGGCCGCCAGCTGGATGCAGCCCCGTTCACCAGCACTCTCTGTGCCCGGCCCTCCAGCCAGTTCTTAACCCAGCACAGAGTGCCCCTGTCCAAGCCATGGGCTGCCAGCTTTTCCAGGAATATATTATGGGAGACAGTGTCAAAGGCTTTGCTGAAGTCCAGATAGACACATCCACAGCCTTTCCCTCATCCACCAGGCGGGTCACCTGATCGTAAAAGGAGATCAGGTTGGTCAGACAGGACCTGCCCCTCCTAAACCTGTGCTGGCTGGGTCTGATCCCTTGTCCATCCTGTAGGTGCTGTGTGATTGCACTCAGGATGATCTGCTCTTTGGCAGGTATCTTTAGCAGCATATCTTTTAGCTTTGTTACATGCACATGAGAACCGTTCCTATCAAAACATTTTGAAGTCTCAAAATTTCTCTTTAAAGTCTCTTAAAACTTCCATGAAGAATTTCATGTCAACATTCAAATATATGTATATAGCATGGTATTCCCTGTTAGTGGCATTGGATGTTTTTACCAGCTGTTCATTATCACTGAAAGATAAACTTCTGTCTGAAATGCAGTGATGTAATTAGCTGGTTATATGTTGTCATCAGATATGGTCATACAAGCAGAGGTATGTAATTGAAAATCCAGGGACACTATTTTTCAGTATATTTCATTACAATTTTATGTAAAAAGATTTCTCTATGCATCTCTACAGAAAAGAACCTGCAAAGTGACAGAAGCCAGATAAGTAATCAATAGCATTTTTATACAGCAGAGTCTGAAATTTTAGATTTATGTAAAACTGACCTTGTTTTTCTGCTGCTTTCTTATCAGGTAGTTCCTGACGAGCTTATTGCAATGGCAGAAAGGTACAAAGAATTTCAAACCAGAAAAGAAAAAGATATACAAAGACCTTGGAGAAAGCTCTCAAAATAACTGTAATCCCTTGAAGCTACTGAAACAAAGTGATCATAGTTAGTGTTAGCATCTCTGGGCTTGAATTTATAAGTTTCATTTCTCATTTGATTGTTTTCTGTACCTGCCCATTTAAATAAACCATTTAAATTGGTTTCGGGAGGGGTGATTAAATGCAGTATTGATATATATGAATATAAAATATAATTTTTCATTTTATTTTCAGAGAACTGAATTTGTCATTGTAAGCAATGTTTGCCAATGTAGCTTCAAAATACTGTACTTTTGCCTTGATATGTCACATCTGCCACAGGCACAAAGAAGTATTTCTAAGGATAACTTACTTATTTGAAAACTGCTCTCTTTGTAGTAACTTCTGTTTGCTGAAGCAAGTTTTAAAGAAAACTTAAAAGTCTTTTTTGTTAAGACTTTTTTTGAGAGGTCTGCATTTTCTTCTAATGGAAGAGAGGATGACAAGAAGTCCATTTTTGTGGTTAACTGGGGAAAAAACAGCTTCTACTCTTATTTTCATGGATGTAATATTCTAGCATAAAGAAGAAAACCAGAGTTTATTAGAGCCATGTTAACAAAAGTCATGGAGAAACGAATACACTTGAAGGTCAGCTTTTATTTCCTTCAGATAAAGTTGATTCACATTTTATATTTGGATGTCAGTTTCTGTCACACAGACTCCTACAGATAGTGGGGCATATTTTCTCTCTTTGGAATTTATATGGGAAGAAGTTATTCCTTCATTTGTTGCTTGGTCTGAACTTGTGTTTATGTGTCATATGAGTAAATTAATAAACTGAATTTAGTGAAATGAAAATATTTTAATGAAATTATTCTATAAATGTTCTTTTGATCTTGCCTCTTTATCTGCTCAAAATTGAGGTGGAATCTTGGCATTATTTCAGCCGGTAAGTTATTTTGCCTTCAAAAATAGGCTAAAAATACAGACTTGCCACGGCTTCTTCAGGAAGATGCAAAATATGTATTTACCTGGAGCTCAGCAGTTCCCAAATGCTGTGTATTTCTCACCTGCACAATTTTAGTAATAGGAAATAATTTTTTTTTCCCTAACACAAATTTTTTCAACATGAGAAAAACAGAGCTGAATTTAATTTCAAGAGTGTCACATTCATGCTGCATTTTGGTTTTGATAACCTTTCATATCAAGTCTTCCTCTTTGATAGGGGTTGAAAGATGCATTTCTTTCTACAAGATTTATGATACAAATACTCATTGGCACAGTAACTTTAACTGAGTTGTAGCATATTAGACAGTGATTGCTTCCTATCCGAAGTCCAGTGAAAAGACTCAATTCCAAAGAAATTCTGAAGACTCAGAAAGGAAAAGTTGCTTCAGGAACTTCATATTATTTTGATACAACATTCTCTCTCTATTCACCATTCCTGGTGATTGTCCTCTGCAACAGGTCTTCATCCACTCAAGCAATCTGGCATTGTTCTGATTAATGTCAAAGTAACTCCAGTGACTTTTTTTTTCTTTTGAAAGCAAGAGTGTATTTTGGATATTCTGCAGAGGATCTTCATTTTAAATAGTCATTTTTCCCTTTATGCACTTTTTGATGCCTTTGTACTTAGAAATGTAGAAATTACATGTAGGAAATCAACTATTGCAAATTCTTCTGTATCTTCTTAGTGTACCTTGCATATATTTTGCAGGTGACATCTGCATTTGGATAGGGAAGGTAAGTATTACTTAAATCATCCCATTTCTTTTAAGGATTAAGGCTAAGCAGTGTGACTGAAGTATGCAATTTTCTCTTGGTGTTCTTGATTTTATTTTGGTTTTGGGTTTTTTTGTATCACCAGACTACTGAAGAGTAACTTATGGTACAGAACTTTTTGTTTTAAATATGCAAATATACATGATTAGACAGCTAATGTAAACAGTGATTTTAATAGCTCTCCTGAAATATTGGGAATGTGTTGTTCAGTTCACGGCTTATCTGTCTTGAAAGGAAATGATTGCTCGCTCTGTCTTCCAGATTGAGCAAGTTGTATTGGGGAATAAAAAAGTGCGGCAGCTGAGACTTTTGCAGGCACTCCATGAAATATCCCAGACATTTCTGAAAGCAATGATCCAGGTCTTCCAAAATCCAGTCTGTGTCATTTGGCCACATGACACAAGAGTGGAAAAAAGCAGTTTTGACATGATATGAACAGAATTTTTCCAGCTCTTTTGGATATTTCATTTTAAGTTGCTCTAGAAGATACTTCAGCAGCTTAAGACAACCTTTCCTGTTAAATAAATAAGAATTTATTAGGTACCTTCTACATAGTTCTAAGTATGTATTTTAGATACTCAAACACAAAGAATTATGCATTAGTTGTCTTGTGACTTTTTTGATTCAGTACAAGATGTAATTGGCAAACAAGTTCTTAGTTTACTTATTAAGGAGGTTTTGTACCTCATGTGGATTTTGTTCTTCCTCTTTGAAGAAATCTGGAAAACAGGTTTTATAAAGTGAAAAATCATTTATTCATCTTGATCTGACTCAGCAGTTCTTTTTTTAACCATCATTTTAGAAATTGCCTTGATATGAAGTGTAATGTAGCTCAGAAAGCTGAGTCATCAGACTCTTCTATGCTGTTTTTTATGAACAGGACTGAACTTGGAAAAGATTATTTAACAAGTCACATCTTTTGCATTTTAAGGCAAGTCCAGGGTGTAAACCAGCAAATATGATTGTTTCCACCTTTCATTAAGTAAATGCAAGTCAGACATTCAATGAGTACATGCAGTGTTGTGCTGCTGTAGAACTCTTATGCCTAAAAGCCTTATTCTTGCTTCCTATTACTCTTAGATAAAATTCTTAAATGCTAAACTGAAACAGTGCTAGATAGTGCTAGCCTGGCTCACACAGGTTTAAAGTAAAATATTCATATGAAATACCAACCTACAGCACTTTGATCCATAAGATTCACAACACGTCCTTGAGTGGCCATGGTTCTCCATCATGAGCTTCTCAATATGTGAGAAGGACAGTCGCCATGTGTTTCCTAAAGTTGAACACAAGACTGTTAAAACTGTTACGCAGCACTAAGTATTGGCATTTGTATCTAGAAAAAAAAGACACTTTGTAATTGCCTTAATATTAAATATTGGCAATTTCTTTGCCCCGTAAAAAAAAAAAATCATAATTCAGTGACTGCAGTTAGTTAGCTCTTCCTTAATTCCCCAGCTGCTCTACACAAATGCAATTAGAATGTAATTAATATAGAACATAATTAATATAGAACATAATTAATATAGAACATAATTAATTGTGTGAATACTTTAAACTCCTAATGATATTTGGATTTACTTCAAAATTAAGCTTAATTCTGAACTTCCTGAATTTGCTGAACGTGATTTGCAGAATTGCAGTACCCACAGAAATCTATGACATTTGAATTTCTGTATCCTTACTGTGTTTTCTGGTTTTCCTTTGTGCAATAGGCTTGTGAGTTTATCTCAAGTATGGTGGCTGTTCTAAAGCACTTATTTTTGTTCTGTTTGTGCTTCTGAAAATAATTGCTAACATAGCTCAACACCCTGTTTTTAACACCAGCAATTATTTTTGTTTTCCTTACATGACTTATACTGTTTGCCTTGCCTGTTTGGCTCAGTTACTCTGCATTTAGTTTGCCCAGGAAGAGATAACCCAGTACAGTAGTAATGATTTATTTAGCACTGATAACATGGGCATGCTAATTAAAAAAATACGAGATTGACTGAAATGTTTTTGCTAAAATCAGCAGTTCTCATAATGCAATGACAAGTCAGGACGTTTCTGCAAACTAATGTAGGCTTGGTGTGACAGTGGTCTGGAGGAAAAAAACATTAAAATGTTGTAGCCATACCAGAGTTCAATGAGAAATAATGTATCTTGATAGAAAAGTACAGTTTGCTTCCTGCAGAAGTATCTGATTTCTGTGTGCAGTCCCATGTGCAGGGACATTCCCTGCCTTTTTAGAAGCCTTTTTTTTTTTTCCTTTCTTTGCAAAACAAAGGAGTGTATGATGCTGTTTATTCTAGCGCAAGCATAGGGAAGGTTCATATCCATGTGTCTGACTGGAGTAGATTTAATATAATGCTCTTAGGAACAGTTAGTGTACAGCCTGCCAGAGCAGTTTGTGTTTAGATTTCTGTATGAGACAAGCAGTATCACAGGTCTGATGTTTTAAAGCAGGATTTCAGTTATCTTTGATCTGGATATATCCAGGATGAGATAAAGATCTGTATCTCAAACCCTTTCTATAGCACTTGAAAGTGATCAAACTGTAGAGAAGGTATTTCAGAACTTATTATTGTCCATATTTGAGGTACCTCTTAGAACCTTTTCTCTTTTGTTTTGCTTGGCTACTAAATACAGTGCTTTAAATTTGAAATCTCTCCTGGCTTTTGTTCCCAGCCACTGTTTAATTTTGAGGCCGTCCTGTGTGCTGGGCGGCCAGCTGTGCTGAACTTTCAAAGTCAAGATGATGTCCACTGATATATCCAATGGAGGATTTTTGATCAGAAGAGTTATTGCAGGGCTTCCAGCCTTTTTCCTTGTCACAGTTACCTCCACATCTAGTAACAAAGAAGAGTGATTTTTCATGTTAGATATATATATACATACACATATGTATATAAGGCACCTTTTTTTGAAGAATGTTAAGGTTTTTACTAATTAGAAATTCATAATCAATCAAAAGACATACGTAGGTTCAGTTGCTGGCTCTTTATCCTACAGGATATGGTTGTTAAATAAAACATTAAGAAGGCCTTTTGATGAGCTCTATGAAATCAGGAGCACTACTTTTGAACTGCTGTGTTTGCTTGATTTACTGTCTAAGAATCAGAAACACAGTAATGTTTTCCAGTGACCTGCTTCACTGTTGAAAACACATACTGAAAAGATTTAGCCACAATGTTTCTGAAAGCTTTGGAGAAAAATAACCCTAAAAGGGGAATACATTTTCTGTATCGATATAAAATATTAGGTAATATATATAAGAAAGTTCTTTGTTGTGTACGAAGAGCCACTTGCAGAATAGGTGCAAAATACATAGGTCATGTAGGAAGTACCATGCATACAGTAGTACCCTTAATATTTATTATTTTCATATGGAAAGAGGATTGCACTGTGGACTTAATCACATAATATGAATAGATCTGATGTATTTGTGATTCTTAACACAAGGCCAAACTTGAGATACTCAGGACAGGAGGAGTTACAGCTCCATTGCCATGAAAAGACAGTTGATGGGGAGAAAAATCCATTTTATTAACAAGAGGGCAACGCATATGCACAATGTAACTGGATTTTTAGCACTCCTAGGTGAAGCTTGTTCTCTCAGTACTTACTTTTAAAGTTTTTTACTTCTTGCTTAATAATTTCTCTAAGTGCTTGAAGCATTTTAAAGGCTGATAGTTTTCCATCTTCATCTAAAAACTTCAAAAAATACTTTTCTTTTGGATTTCTTTTGAATGTTAGGTAATAATAGGCTCCTGTATCATCAGACTCATCCAGCTGAAGCCTTTCAACAGGTATTACGAGCATGATGTCAAATTCATTTGGTTGAGATATCTGCAAAGTAGGAGAATACAACAGTGAATGTGCAACTTGAGTTTTATTCTCTTTAGGCTTTTATACCAATTGTATTTTTACCTACAACTGTCTTGATGTACTTCTCGTGTCTGGTGTGAAATATGAGCTTATTTCTGTGGATTTGTATTGCAAGATTACTGTGCATTTCGGTGGAGAAAAGCAATTTACTGATAGCAGTTCACTTCCCATCTTTCCAACTTATTAATTTTTAAAAGAGCTTTAAGATTCTCAAGCTGTTCTGAGTAATGCATAAATGCTGAACTCAGTTATCCTTTTGCACACAGGAATCAACTGTGAGAAAAAAATGCATTGCTATGTCTGAAGCCATTTTTACACCCCCCACCACCACAAAAGAAAGTGTCCACATATTTGACTTTGTTCCAGGGTGTGCTGGAATCAGAAAAAAAGGTACTGCTTAATCAGGGAATGTTAAGGGGTTGGAATGGACCTGAAAGATCATTTAGTCCAAACCTCCCTGCCTTGGGCAGTGACACTTTGATGTCTCAGGAGCAACTTCCCCCTAGATCAGGTTGCTCAAGGCCTTATCCAACCTGGCTTTGATCACTATCAGGATTGGGGCATCCACAGCCTCCCTGGGCAACCTGTTCCAGAGTCCAACCACCCTCACAGTACAAGATTTCTTAATATCTAGCCTAAATTTCCTCTCTTTCAGTTTGTATCCATTATTCCTGCTTTTTGGAAAAAGTATAAACTAAAAACAGGCACAGGGCCTTTCGTGTAGCGCTATACTGACGGGTCCTGCGGTTACATCGAGCTCACATGCGTGCTGTGCAAGAGCGAGGCTTGCCACTGTTTGCTGCAGCGAGTCCCGTTCAGGCAGCGTCTCTAACTGAATGCACATACGTACACACCTTTCAGTAGGTATAAAGCACTGAGGTTAATTAACGGAGCCCCGCTACAGTTTTACCTTGTCGGGAAGGGCCGGCTCAGAGCTGCTGTGGAGCGGCAGGAGCAGCGCGCCGCCGGCCCGTGGGAGCCGCCCGCCACCTGCGGCCGGAGCCCGGCCCGCGCCCCCGGGCGGCACGGAGGGCGAGGCGCGGCCGGCGCCCCCGAACCCACCTTGACGCGCTCGTAGTAGCTCCCGGCGCTGTACTGCTCCATGGAGCTGAAGGCGCCGTCCCTGCTCCGGATAGTCTGGACCAGGTGCGGAATCACCATATTCACCAGCTTCGACGCCTCGGACACGTCCCTGCGGCCCAGGCTGAGCCGCGACAGCACCTCGCGGAGCCCCAGGGTGTCCGGCGGGGGTCGGGGGATGGCCGCGGGGGCAGCGGCCGCCCCGTCGGGCACCCCTGGGACCTTCCGCGAGGCCTCGGGCACTTTGGCGGCCGGCTCCCTGCTCCGAGGGGTAGGGGTTGGCTCTACGCCGGCCGCCGGGAGGGCCGTGGCAGTGGGGGCTCGCCGCCCTGAGCGCCCGCCCCGGGCGGGGGGTCCGTCCGTCCGCGGCGCTTGGCAGGTCGTGGCACGGCTCGGGCTTTCGCCCGCAACGCGGCTCCGCGAGGGACTGCGGGCTGCGCTCCTCGGGGCGCCCCGGCCCCGTGAGTGGCTAAGGGCTGCGGTCCTCGGCGCGCCCCGGCCCCGCGAAGGGCTGCGGGCTGCGCTCCTCGGGGCGCCCCGGCCCCGCGGAGCGGCGGTTCGCGACCCCCGCTTGCCCCGCGCCCGTGTGCCGCCCCCGCCGTCCATGGCCGCCGCTCCCTCTCCGCACCAGGAGGACGGTGAGCGCAGCCCCGCCGGCGGGGGGTTCCCGCCTCTGGCTTCGGGCAAGTTCCTCTTCCAGGCAACGCGCCTTCGTCAGGAAACGAAACCCGCCAGGCGCGGGAAAGAGGCGCTGCCCGGATCTGCCGGTTCTGCCCGGGCACAGCAAAACTCTGACATCAACAGCCAGGCTGCGCCGAGACATCGAGGGGGCGCAGCCACCTCCCCCTCTCCAATCCGTAGAGAACATTTTCCCGCTCTGGGCGGCCCCTCCCCACCTCCCCTCCGGCGGGGCAGGGGCGCATGGACGCGCCGCTCCCGCCCACGGAGCTCCCGGCTCCGCCTCCCGCCTCGTAGCGGAGGAGCGCCGGTGACTTCCAGCCCTGCGCCCGCCGCCGGGAGAGCCGGCCCTGCCGCCATGTTTTTGCGGAGAGGCTGCTGCCGGCTGGCGCTGCCCCCGGTGCCTCGCACAGGGCATCGCCGGGCAGGCAGCGAGGTCGGGGCGGCGGCGCCGCGCTACGACGTGCTGGTGGTCGGCGGGGGCCATGCGGGGACGGAGGCGGCGGCGGCAGCCGCCCGCGGCGGGGCCCGCACGCTGCTGCTCACGCACAGGATCGGCACCATCGGTATCGCCGCGGTAGTCCGGGCTGGGGCGGGGAAAGAACCGCGGGCGCCTCGGGTCTCCCCGGCGTGGGGGCTTTTGGGCGGCGGTGGCGACGGTGTCGATGTGTCCCTTCCCTAGGGGAGATGTCCTGCAACCCGTCCTTCGGCGGCATCGGGAAGGGGCACCTCATGCGGGAGGTGGACGCTCTGGACGGGCTGTGCGCCCGCGTCTGCGACCGCTCCGGCATCCACTACAAGGTGCTGAACCGCTGCAAGGGCCCGGCCGTGTGGGGCCTCCGCGCACAGATCGACCGCGGCCTCTACAAGGAGAACATGCAGGTGAGAGCGGGGCCGGGAGGATTTTTTGGTATCAGGTGTTAATATAAACGACTGAAGATAAAGAGGGAGGGGCTCGTGTTTTATTTTTCATTATTTTCCTATCAAACCTAGATACGTTTCTTTTTGGTACTTTAATGCACTGTAGGTTGTTGGAGCTCGGCTCACTTTAAAACATTCTCCATCATGACCAAATAGTTTCTTTTGAGCTTAAACTCTTATCTGAAAGAAAACTTCCACTTGATCAATCAGAATAGTACCATAACTGAGTATCTTCCCAATGATGTGGTAAGAATGGAAGAGGGTGATAGATGTTCTGGAAATCAGCAGGATTTGGAATTGCCCATATGTCTCATAACTTCCTAGATTTTTGCAGTAACTCCTTTCATGACAGAAAGAAATCCTTAACACACCACTGTTGACAGTTCGTGAGGCATCTGTGGAGGATCTTATCTTGACAGAGCCAGAATCAGGACATCCTGGGAAATGCCAAGTCACGGGAGTCGTTCTGGGTATGTGTTAGTAACTCAGTAAGTACTTTCAGTTACATGGAGTTATCCTTTGGGATAAACATTTCTGATTCGTCACTGAGAAAGATGAATTAACCAAGATGTCTCTTTTAGGCAGAGCGTGGACTAAATGGGGTTAATAAGTGTAATACAAAATAATACAGTGACAAATGTACCTGGATTGATAGAATATTGGGAGGTTACTTAAGTTAGTTTCCTTCAGGCTAGTGATACTGAATTCCACACTGCATTTTGAGATTTTTATTTGGTAAATGGCATATGCTGTTGACAATGTTATGGGACTGTGGGGTCCTATTACTAACAGACTCGTACTTTCTTACCTCTTGCTCTTCTAATAAACAAGCTTTCTGAAGTAAAGGCCTGGATATGATTTTTTTTCCCAGGAGTGGGTTTTCTGTGTTACAGGTAACTTGTTTAGGAATAATAAAAATACAGGAATAAATACACGGTGCTTCTTGCAGTTATTACTGTTAGTGCTTTCATTATTGAAATGCTGCTTTTGTTGTGTAACAGAAGATGGATAAACCCTCAGTGAACACTGTCAGTCTAGTTTTATGCAGAAGCACCAGAATACGAGGACTTTGTTGATACTAAAATATGTACATTTTTGAAAATTTGCTGTTTCAGGGGATGGGAGCACAGTACACGCTGGGAGCGTTGTCCTGACCACCGGTACCTTTCTGAGGGGTATGATCCACATTGGGCTAGAGATGCACCCGGCTGGCCGGCTAGGGGACCAGCCAGCCATTGGGCTAGCTCGGACTCTGGAGAAACTGGGATTTGCTGTGGGCAGGCTGAAGACTGGGACACCGCCCAGACTTGCCAAAGACACGATTGACTTCAGTGGTCTGCAGGAGCATGGAGCTGACAATCCTCCAGTGCCATTCAGCTTCCTCAGTGAGGCTGTGTGGATCAAGGTGGGATAGCACACATCAAATGCACATAGAGTCAGGTGGCGAGTGGTTCCGGGAATGTCGTGCTCGTAATCAGCCAGGGATTGGTGGCTGGGAAAGGGAGCTGCGATGTATTTGTACTGGAGGTGCTATGTTTCTGAGGACTCTCAATGCAAAGGGTTCTTTTGTTGCTTGTGTTCTTTTAAAAGCAAGTACCTTCTTACTGTATCTTCTCAACTTGAGAACTAAACTTTTTTTAACTTCTGGAGTCAGAGTTGCATGAAATGGGATACTGATACTAGTATTCTTCATGTGCTGGTTACATGGGTGGTTTACCTGTATTCTGGAGATTTATAATATCTTGCTTCTTACCGTACCTTTAAAGTAAGGTTAAAATGTTGAAATTAGAGATCATTAATAGTATTGACTAAGAAAGAGAAAGAATAGAGTTGTCCACAGGACTCAGAAGTGACATATTAACAGTAACTTAAAAGCACAAAAAGCTCAATTTTCAAAGAAATTTTGTTTTCAAAGAAAATTCTTACATAATGTAGTTGAGTACCACAGAGTTAAGTATCAGGAGTTAATTTTCCCCAGAGTGTATAGGAATTGCAATAACCTATTAAAATCAGGATGCGGGCAAAAGTACTAGCACTTGAAGTCCTTGGTATGTGTAGGAAAGGTTTTAAGAGGTTAAGGTACAACATCATTACTTTTTGAATGTTAGTGTATTGACCCTTTCAGAAAAATCAGTAAAATACTTTACTTTTTTTCCCCAAATTTTGAATTTGTCATCTGAGTTGCAGAGTTTTGAGATTTTTATCTTTTTTTTCTTCACCGAGAGATTTCTTTATTTTTCTTCACCAAAATCTTTTATTGACTGTTAGCTGTAGGGTCAGCACTTTTTCTTCTTGCTCCAGAGCTATGAATTCCTGTAGTCAGTTTGAATGCTGTGATATAATGTGTTGCTTTAATGGCAGTATCCATCCTGTAATTAGGACTACATGTGTGGAATAAAATTTGAATTCTGCACTCCCAAGTTTTGTTCTGTTCTCGGTCTGCTTTTGGGCATGTTGCTCCTGCTCTCTGATTGCTCATATTCTGTCTGTACAGTGGGCATGACAGCGCTACTTAGCTCTCCAAGAAGTAAGAGCCAGTTGTCATGGAAAAAGTATTGGAGATCCTCAGAGTTGTTCAATAAGAGTACAGTGTTGTGACTGGATTAATTTAAAGTGAGCTTTGGCCTCTTTCAGCCAGAAGGTCAGCTGCCATGTTACCTGACACGCACTACCCTGAAAGCCCAGCAAATTATCTATGATAACCTCCACCTGAACAACCACGTAAGGGAGACAACAAGGGGCCCGCGGTAAGTGTGTGACATCACTCAAGGCTTTCAAGGGTACGAGTGTCAATCTGTTTGAATCTGGGGGAATGTCCTGCTTTGCTTTTGCAAAGTTACTTTTTCTCCCTGTCAGGTGGTGCTCATGGCCATTTACTGTTGCAGGTACTGTCCCTCTCTTGAATCAAAGGTTCTGCGCTTCCCAAACCGGCAGCATCAAGTTTGGCTGGAGCCTGAAGGCTTGGAATCCAATATCATTTATCCCCAAGGCATGTCTATGACACTGCCACCTGAGCTCCAAGAGCAGGTGATCAAATCCGTCCCAGGCCTGGAAAACGCCAAGATGATACAGCCAGGTGAGGGGGATGAATAGTTTTAAATCTATTTGTTACATTGTTTACCATTAGTGAAAACCAGATTTTGTTTAGAACATAGCAAAGCAAAGGAAATACAAAACAAAGCTAATTCTTGGTTGCAGGGATTTTTCCTTGGTTGTTTTGAAATTGTAAATAAAAGTTGAAAAGCTAAGTCATCCTGCCCCACTGGTTGCCTTTGCTGACCTTCAAAATCCCTCCTGTAACATCTATCTTGTTGTGTGTCATAGGCTACGGGGTGCAATACGATTTTTTAGATCCCCGTCAACTGACTGCTTCCCTCGAGTCGCGTCTCGTTCAGCGTCTCTTCTTCGCAGGCCAGATAAATGGCACGACAGGCTATGAAGAAGCTGCAGCTCAGGTGGGTAAATCTGACCACGTGTAATCAGCACTCAGAAAAGGGATATTGCCTTGGCATCTGTCTGTGATACAGAGTCCTGCAAGGCTCATTTTTTACTCTTGAGATGTTCCTACTTTTGTTGGAACAAAATATTCCAGACTTGCCCAAGATATTTTTATTTTTAGTATCTGCAGTGCTGTCACTTAAGACTGCAGTAACAAAAGTAACTGGAAGCACTGTCAAGTCTTTCAGCATGGAGACGGTGCAGCAGATATAATTGAAAACATGGGAATTGTGTCCAGACACTTCAGCAGTGGCCAAGAATCCCTTCAGGCACTTGTAGTGTCACAAGAAGGATTACTAGCACAGACTGTTGCACTCTCTGGGTACAGTTTGACATGTGAGTCTTTGGAAGCAGATGTGCTGATATTTTAGCTAAGAAGAGACCGATAAATGTGTTTGGTTTGTTTTCTGTCTGCCTAGGGTGTGATTGCTGGAATCAATGCCTGCCTGCGGGTTCATGGCAAGCCCCCTTTTGTTGTCAGTCGCACCGAAGGCTACATTGGGGTCCTG